CAAATCTGTATTTCATGTCTCTGTTAATACTGTTACATGGCTTCTGTGAATTTGATTTCTCATTTGTAAAATTTCAGTGTCAGTACTTGACCTAACTACTTCTCAGGATTTACCCTGTGTAGGTCAGGACTTAATCTGTGCTCTTTCAACCATGTCACTCCAGTATTTTCAAAAGCAACAATCCGGTTCAAATATATTTTTTCATTGGGTTCTTCAAGGGTCTCTAAAAGTATTCCAGCTCTACCTCTCCACTCTCTTTTACCATTATATAACAATGAACAGCTTGTTTTTATTCTCATTACATGTATTCCATCCTTCTAAATTTCTAGTCAGCTGTCATAAATTCATGGAGCATAAAACATATGCCTTCCTTTAAACATAGTTTCTTGTTTACATGGTCTTGATAAATTAGTGTTGATTGACCCTCTACATGCCTTTTTCAAGTCCAAATGCTTAATTTTAAAGTATTTAAAGACAGGGTCCATATTACCTTATTTGTATTACCAGCCAACTCTTACTCAAAATAAACTTAAAATTTCCTAACATTTCTGTATTTGTCCCTTCATAGACCTAAGATATGTATTCTAATTCTCTAATAAATTGCTAAGAGAGAGTTAGCTAGGATTAATGAGAGTCACTTCCTGGGCTCTAGAGAAGGAGGAGATAGTCTATAAATGTAAATACAACAAAAAATTTTCTTGTTGCAATTATGGCTAAGTTAGCCTTTGTATCTGTGCTCATAATGTCATGTAAAGCATACAAAGAAATAAAAGTAGCTCCTTTATGTGAGTTCATAATATAATTTGCTTATTAAAAGAGAACTCAGCAAGTGGAGGAAGTTTTCTTATCCCTCCAGAACCTTTAAACCTACACTATGCCCAGAATACCCAGACACTCATACACACACACACACACACACACAGTATTGATTTCCAGAATTTCTCCATGGATGCCAAAAATAATAAACAAAAAATAAATCAAAAGCAACAGCCTCCTTCCATTATGTATTAAATATCTTCCCCGTGAAGTTAGGACAAATAGAGATGTATATAGAGAGCAATGGAAACATAAATCTAGTGTCGTAGTAATCGATTTCTGCCTTGTTCCTTTATTTCTAGTAAATAATGATCTTCAGATCTTTCGTGGTGGCACTATAGTAAAAGTCAGCCCCAAGATCTCTGGAAGTGTTTCATCTTTGATAGAGCCAATGATGCTGCTTCCTCTCCAAAATCATTACACTCACTCATTTTTTGTTGTAGAGTAGAAACAATATTTAGTAGAATCAGAAGAAATTGACAAAGGATATTCACTTTAAAAGATCTCTGCCCAGTTATGTATATGATTAATAGAACACTTTATGTGGTTCTTTCTATGGTGAACCAAAAAGAAGATTTCTCTAGAAAATGTGGTCCCTGCATATTACCATTTAGTTATTAAAATGAAAATAAAACATTGAAATCACCACAAAAAAAAGTCTTAAATATTAAGTAGACCTGTCTAGAGCTGAAATTCGGTGCAAGCTGAAAGTCTCATCAAACAAGATAAAAAGGGAAATAATTTAATCTGCTTAGATATGTGAATTCACTAAGCAAAGACTACTACTGCAATCTTATACAGACCTCCACGTTCCTTCCCATTGCTCATTTCTCAGTAAAATTCATAGGATGATGCATGATCAAGCCCGATCATTAGATTTTAGAGCACAGAGGAAGATGTCGATTTATTTACAAGATAAACAATTGAGGTTGAATTCTGAGTCTGACACTTAATTATCTATATGCTTTGAAAAAAAATCATGTAACCTTTCTATATAATTAGGTAGCACAAAGATAATAGATGAGAAGTAATAGATAACTGTCAAGCACCTATTTAAAACATGCATTTTGTACATGTTGGTTTGCAACCAAGACACTTTCTGGGACCTAGCAGAAGAGATTCCAAGAGGGAAGGCGAGAAAGCAACATGATCCAGAGGTTAAGAGTTTGACAGTGCAAAGGAAGTCCTGTAACTTGAGCCTTTCCTATTATTATCATTATCATTATCATTATTCTCATTTATTTGCTGCTGTTGTCACTGTTATTTCCAAAGGCAAAAATCTCGCGAAGTTGGCACCATGTCCTCAATGGCCCAGTCTCCAAAACTCATACGTATTTTAATAAATCCAATTATTTCAGTGAATCACTCTAAGTCACACTCATGCTTTGTTCCAGCCCCTCAGCTGAGGATACACACCTTTTATAAAGGACTATATTTCTCTGACCCAGAGCTGCAGGAACTGAGTTTTTGCAGGACCTTGTAGGTGGATGTCAAAAATAAAATAAATGCTGAATGAATCTTATAGAGAAATCAATTGTGTCAACCACAGATTTTCTGGGTCAGCAGGTTGGATATAATAGAAGTAGTGACAGATGCCTGTGATGATGACTCTTGTAGTCACCAATCAAGCCAGTTACAAATACAGTGTTTAAAAGAAGCTGATACCCTACAACCAAAAAATTTAGAAGAAACTATGTATTTCATGCAAACAATTAAATCTGTGATGTCATTAATGAAGAGCCCTCACATTCCTCCAACTTTCTTCCCCTGTAAAATGACACCCCTCACCTTTGGGTAATTGTGCCATAGAGTCTACTGAAGCCCGTGGACCCAACGATACATTAATACCAGTTTGAAGAGTTTTTTTGTCTTTTAATGAAATCTTGATATCAGTGCCTCACATTCCCACTTAACCCGATGGTCATTGTGTGAAAGAGATGCTGCCAGTGACAATTCAATTTGCTTTTTCAAGAATTTGCAAATGTAGGCAAAGTCAACTGGGAATGATGCATCCTTTACGCAACTTTTACATTAAGAAGAAGTGAGCTCTATTGGATTACCATCATAGAGACAAGAGCAGTAAAAACTAAAAATGACATGTTACCTAATCATTACTTTGACAATAATTGTCACGAACAGAGTTTCTTTATAGATTTTGGATGTAGCCTTTGAAACAAAAAAGACTGTGTCGGCCTGAGCTAAAAGGATTTTTAAAAATTTAATCTTTAAGAGAAGCTCCTGAGATACAGGCTAAAAGAGTTTATAAAGGTCATAAAAAAATTAACTTATCTTGCTGACTGAAGCTTTTTTAATGCACTCTAAGTTACAAAGGAATCGCATCTGGAGCCTTTAGGCCAATGGTCTACTATATTTTTCTCTCATTAGTAAGGACAGCAAAAATCTGCATTTGGATTTTTACCACCGCAATCATCTCTGATTCATTAGTCTTCGTGATTGAATATGAGGAGAGCATGGAGCCAGTGGCGTAGGAATATTTCGTACTTATCTCATTTGCTCACACAGCAGTTCAGGAGGCAGCCAGAATCATGAGTGGAAATGGGCCTGCTAGTGGGGCTAAACACGGTTCAGAGACAGACTGACGGACTTCTGTCAGGTCTGTCTGGAAGAAATAAATATAATAAAAGGTCTTTAAGGCAAAGACTATTACTTATGTAAAGTGACATTCATACCTCTCTTCACATGCCGCATCAAAAACAAAACGGGAGAGGCCTCTGCAGATGTCTTGTCACGGGGTGGAGCTCATTAAGGAGAGCTGGATCCAGGATACCTGAGCGAGGGGGATTCCACCTTGTGAATATCAGCTCCCTCAACCACAACGGAGGGGTGAAAAATTGACCCTGTCCACCTCATAGGGGATTGTAAAACACAGATGAAATAACATTTTCAAGACATTGTATTATGACCAAACTCCATAAAAACGTTGGGCATTGTCATTATGTTGACCGTGAAGACCATGATTATGCCCAAAAGATAGATATATGAATATAGTTGTATGTTAGTTCAAGTTAACCCAGTAGACGGAGGATTTTCTAAAGCCAGTGTCCATATCTTATCCTTTATCTGCTTAACATCAACCGTGCCAGGCACACAGCAGATGCTTAATAAATACTTTTTAAATGAATAGGTAATAATCATTTTATAAACAGATTAGATTTAGGAATCTCCTTAGTAAAGCAAACAAAAACCAGTATCTCCCGTGATTAAAAGACAAGCTTCAATTTTTTTAAATCTGTCTACATGATTTGTATTTAAGGAGGGGTTAAAGCATTAACAGTTGAGAAAACAAGAATGAAAGACTGCTGGTGTTTGGTGGCCAAATCCACCACATATCAGCCAATGCATATTACTCAACCCTTTTCCTCTTTCGTAATGCAGAGGTAGTAATAACATCGACCTCAGTTGTTGACATCAGCAGTAAAAGAGATCATTCATGCAAAGGGTCTAACATAGAGCCTGGCACATGGTAGATTCTTAATAAAAGCTGCAATTGATCTTTTAACTTCAGTTGTCCTTGTTGCTCATTCGACTCATCACTGTTAAAACATGGGCTTCAGCAAAGGGAGTTTCTCAGACAATTCTGTGAATAAGTGGGCTAGATGGGATGTCTGACATCACAGTGACACTCTCTCCTGAGAACCCGGCTTTATTATTTTTTTAGGCTTTTTTTTTAAAATATGAAATTTATTGGGGCGCCTGGGTGGCTCAGTCGGTTAAGCGGCCGACTTCACCTCAGGTCATGATCTCGCGGTCCGTGAGTTCGAGCCCCGCGTCGGGCTCTGTGCTGACAGCTCAGAGCCTGGGGCCTGTTTCAGATTCTGTGTCTCCCTTCTCTAACCCTCCCCCGTTCATGCTCTGTCTCTCTCTCTCTGTCTGAAAAATAAATAAATGATAAAAAAAAATTTTTAATAAAAAATAAAATATGAAATTTATTGTCAAATTGGTTTCCATACAACACCCACTACTGATCCCAACAGGTGCCCTCCTCAGTGCCCATCACCCACCCTTCTCTCCCTCCCACCCCCCATCAACCCTCAGTTTATTCTCAGTTTTTAAGAGTCTCTTATGGTTTGCCTCCCTCCCTCTCTTTTTTTTTCCCCTTCCCCTCCCCCATAGTCTTCTGTTAAGTTTCTCAGGATCCACATAAGAGTGGCTTTAATTGCTATCTTTTGGCTCCTTCTTAGGACTGACCCAATGAACACTTGTCAGGCCTGTTCAAAAAAAAAAAAAGAGAGAGAGAGAGATCCTTTAACCCACTGGCACTACAGTTTAGGCATTTCGTCTCATGCTAAAATCTTCTCTTTGCTGGGATTTTGACTGCACTGCCTCCCTCAACTTAAATTATTTTTCAAATTAAAAAACTTCCAATAAGCCAACCTTGAACAAGGAGGTCATGTGGGGTGCTTCTCTGAAGTAAATTGCATTCTTGTCATTTGTATTCATAACAACATCCCCTAACAACTGAAAATATGGTGTGGCTGAACCACAGAAAGTACTTTTTGTCAACAAGAAAATCTAGCATCATTTGCTTAGCAACTTTTTTGTTTGGAGATCTTGCTAGGGCTTTTATTCACTTTGGCTAAACTCTGATTGGATTAGAGGTTCATGGCATCCTTATTATTTAATACAACTCATCTCACATAGAGGTCACTCTCTTCTACCCTTTCTAATCATGATGATGACAACTGAGAATTGACATCGTGCACTATTGTGTACTGTCAAATGCATAACAAATACCTTAATCAGGCTTAAATAGCTTGAGAACCACAACTATTTATTGCAGGTCAGAGGCAAATTTCTGGAGCTGGCAAGTGAAGATGTGAGGACACTGATTTGAAAATGCCCTGCCCCAAATGATATCACCCAATTTGATCAAACAGTTGCTGCTTCCTTTTATATGAAACCGTGTCTCTTTTACAGTAGCAATAACCTGGATCAAATACTCTAGGCAGAGGCATTAACTAGAATTAACAACCAGATTATACTAGCTATTTTATTGGTTTCATAAATTTACCAAATCAGAAACTTGGCAGACAAATTAAAATAGGCCAGTTCCTTAATAGGTTGAGGAACCTTAAGAGAGAACAAGGGCCTCTGTTGCACCTGTTTAGCGATGAGCAGACTACCAACTGCACCAGACTTCTAAGAGCAGAGAAGAAATGTTCAAAATGGAGTCCTCTTTCCTTCCACAGCCACTGTTTCCAGTTCCCATGCTTCTCCCAGACGAGAAGTAACACTCTTTAAAGCTGGTCTGAGTCAAATGTCAGAAAACGACATCCTAATGACACTAAAGTTTCACTTTGTGTTTCCCATTAAAACAGACTTATTTCAAATTCAGAAGGCAGTGATCATAAGCAGCACATTCCACGTTGGCTGACAGGTAGGATTAACTACATAAGACTTTCTAAACTGAAAGGGAGCTTGTTGCTCCTTAACACTTTCAAAGCAAATTCTTTGTGTGTGCTCTAAGCACGCCAAGGTGGGAGGGCATTTATTTCCGCAGCAGGAGTCCTGTGGCAACACTCAATCTCTCTGACTTCACATTTATTACGCTAAATGACCGATGCACAGTTAATCACTTGGCCTGAGAGTTGGTGTGGGGGGTGGGGGAGAAGCACAGGTTTTCTCTGTATGAGTATTGACAGGCTGGCTTAGAGATCAGCCTGCTTGGTGTTTCAGTCAATTAGAAAACACCTTATCCATGAAGTGGACTGACTGTACTTTCAAAATAAACTTGGATTGGACTAGATGCTGCTCTTTTCCAATAATCCTTAAATCATGATCAACGAGGTCAATGTACCTGAAATTATCCATTTTCTCTATTTGGGACATGCTAAACTCTGACTCTCTGTGATGATTTCTAAAAATATTAGTGGAATAATCAGAATGAGAAATGCCAAAAACTTTTATGCTGATTTTATAACCACAGCAACCATTTAGAAACATTTTATTTCTCTTCTTTCCCTCAATTCAGAAGAAGCCACTCAGCTTTACCCAAATTACTCTGTGGAATGGGTAGCCTACAATAGCAGGTGATTTCAAATTACATTCTGAGCTCAGGTAAAAGATATGAAGCAACTATATTACATTGTGTTTTACAAAAGCATTGATCTTTTTAAGATAAAAATAATGTCAAGTTTTTGAGTTTTTATTGTGAATACCTATGATTTTTCTGTTCAAAACCTCAGCAAGTTTCCCTTGACCCTTGTTGGGTCCCTGGATGGGTGTAAACAGTGCACTTGATGAAGACAGATTAACAGGAGAAAAGCATATAAATGAATTTAACATAAATTTTATATGGCATGGGAGCCTTCACAAAATAATAATAATAATAATAACCCCAAAAGACAAACCTGAGTATTCTATGCTGAGTTTGATGAAAAGTGGAAGAATAAATATGATACGTTAAGAAGTACGAGGTAATGGTAGTAATAGAAGAAATTTAGCAAGGCCTGTTTGTTCTTCTTGGTGGTCCTATGTCTTCAGAAATAAGGGTTCCGGTATAGGAAGGGCACCTCTCACATTGGTCTGTTTCATTGGAAAGGTGAAGAAGGGAGAGGTCACAGTTACCTTCCTGCTTCTGCATTTTGTCAAACTCTCTCAGCTTAAATACTCAGTATGGTAAAGTGTCATGTTCTGGGGTACCCTGTACTGAACGCTATCAACCTTGGCTTCTTGCTCACCAATCTGCCAAGTCTTGTGGATTCTACTTGTATAATACCCTGTCCTTTCTAGTCTATTCCCACTGCTACTGTCCTGGTTTAGGTCTTCATTACTTCTCTCCAGGGCCAACTGGTTTCCTTAATACCAGTCTTTCTGCTCTTTAATCGACTTTACATGCTATGATCACATTAATCTTCCTAAAGCATAGATTAGATCATGTCATTTCCTTGCTCAAAAATCTTTAATGGCTCCATACTGCTTAATTTTAAAAGTCTAAACTGCTTAGTCCAGGGTTCAGTGACCATCCCCCAGCCCATCTACCTTTCCAATCTTATATGCCTCTACTTGTCTTCATTCATTCACTTGTTCAGTAACATGGAATCAGTCACTATTCATTACTCATGGTCTCTTGGTGGAATTTCCCCTTTCCAAGTGTTTGACCGTGCCCACCCCACCACCCCCCACATGGGATTTCCCTTTCCTGCCCCTATTTATTTTGCATGGCCAAGTTCTACTGCTCAGCTTTCCCTAATTTCCTCCAGTTAAAAATAATGTATCCTTCTCATGCCACGTAGAACTGTATCTATATATCTTATGACACTTTTACCTTATACAATAGTTCTGCATATCTCATATGCCTTTTTTAACATTTACATAAATTCCTTGAAAGTAGAATCTAATTCATGTTTACATCCCCTCATAGTACCTATCACAGAGACTGGCATATTGTATCCATTTAATAAATATTTATTGATGTATTCTATTCACAAATAAGTGGATGAATCCTAATTTACTATCCTTAAACAATCATAAATTTATTTTTTCAGACACCTGCTTTCACCTATTCAGATCTTGAAGCATTCCAAATTCTAACAGATGTTTGTGGACAGCTGGGAGAAATTACACTGCAGACACCAAATCATCAGTTTAGCCCTCAGGCTCACATCTTCACCTGGTTATGTGTTCCAGACAGCTGTGCCTTCTTGGAAATGCACTTGGCTTTAGGAGCAAGCTCTGTTTGTAATACCTCTATAGCATTCCAGAATAAACATGACAGGCCTTGATGTAGAGTAGAATAAGTGTGAGTCTGTGATCTATTTATGTTCTTTGGGGACTTACAGTGGACTCATTTTGCATTTGTAAAAATGCCTCTAATCTTAGGGCCTCCCTCAATTTCAGATCACGGTAATTTTACTTTTAGTAAAGATAGTTCAGTACCCTGTGATGAGGAAAATACAAGTCAGGAAAATGTACAACTCAGCATATGCTGGAGGCCAGAAACGAGACCAAATGATGCATATTTAGGCTCACTCTTCCTGAATTGGATGCATGTTCTGCTTCTGAATGTGTATTAACTTTGGCTATTCCATCACTTTTAAGACTTATCTGCTCTGAAACTGTTCTTAGCATCCTTTTGGGACTATGGCCAGAGGTAGAACATTAGTGAATATCCATGTAACCTAATCTCCCATGGTGTATTTTATTCCATGCCCTTTGTTTTGTTTCTTTCCACCTGATTACTCACATGTAACCCTTGCTGTACTCTATGCTGGGTCGGTGTAGATGGAGGAAGAAAAAAAAAAGAAACATGCCCATGATTGTCAGGAGTAGACACCAGTTTATAAATAGTACTGGTTTGACTGTGCACTGGTTTTCTGAATACAGGAAGGTCAAGAAAAACATTTTCCTTTGAAATGAAAAAAGGAGGTTAAAACAAGAGTTTTAATAACAGGCTTGACACAGAGCAGTGTAATACCAGCATGAATTACACTTGGTACCAGACTTTTATTGGAAGTCCTAGATTGCTTTGTTCCTGTCCCTGACATAATATTCAGAGTTGGGTTTATATTTATCCAGAAGAGAGCTGCTTGCTATAGTCCATGCAAATCAAATGCTTGATTTATGCACCATTCTACTGGAGGGTGTAACATTAAATTTAATTTTGTGAGGAAAGCCTGAGGTGTTTCAATGCCTGGGCTTGACATTGTGAACTAGGCAGAGAGGTGCACAAGAATTCATTATGGTTTCCAATATGCGAAATGCAGCATTTGAATGAAACATTTGTCTCTTGTCAAAAAGGCGTAATGTCTCTTCTTGGTAAAATATTTCCACCCCCACCCCTCAGGACACACCAGCACATTTTTGGCCTTCATCATAGATCTTGATGAACGATGAGTGACTACGGCATTTGAGGGACTGTGGAGACATCAAACAACATGTGTCTGTGAAATGATCAGTTATCAATAATATCAACCCAACTGACTTCACCTTGACTGTAGAATGTTGCCGCTGTTTGTACAACCGTGTTAATTAGCTATATGACAACTTTGTGATTTTTTGTCTTCAGCTGAATGTTACTTGCCAGTCCTCTTGCTCATGACTGGTTGGCTTCCTTTCCCATCCCCTACAGCAAATATTCAACATTTAACTACACTGTCCGCAGTATCCCAGCCTCAATGCCAAGTGCTCAGGCTCAGCAGAAATCCTGCCATTTGCTTCCTCAGGAGACTCAGGGCTGTCAGGCATCCACACCTTCTCTGTACTCAAC